CCATCCATCCATCCATCCATCCATCCATCCATCCATCCATCCATCCATCCATCCATCCATCCATCCATCCAGTAAAGTTAGGATGAGGTTTTCTCATGACTCACCAGCGCCCCCTTTGTTGTTGAAACCACTCACATGCAGCATGTAACCGTCAAACTCAGAATCAACTCTAAATGAAGAATAAAGGGCAAACTTTTTGTTTCCTTCAAAGTCCTCCATGTCGACCATCAGTTCCTGGTTCTGAAGTCGTGTCAACTCATGGATGTTATCAAGACCTGCACAGACATGAAAACCATTAAAATTGGATTTTTACTGAGACTTTCACACACTAAGTACTTAGTTGGGTCTCCTTCTGCTCAGGTTACTGCAGCAATGCAGAGTGGCATGGAGTCAATCAGTCTGTGGCTTTGCTCAGGTGATATGAGAGCCCAGATTTTTCTGATAGTGACCTTCAGCTCTTCTGAATTGTTGGGTCTTCACTATTGTGTCTTCCTCTTCATGATACCCCAGAGATTTTCTATGACGTTAAGGTCAGGTGAGTTTGCTGGCCAATTAAGATCAGGTAAACCCTGATCCTTAAACCAGGTACTTTGGCTCTGTGTGCAGGTCCCAAGTCCTGTTTGAAAATTAAATCTGCATCTCCATAAAGTTGGTCAGCAGCAGGAAGTGCCCTAAAACTTCCTGGCAGATGGCTGTGTTGACCTTGGACCTCTGTGTGTGATGGTTCTTGAAGCACTGACTCCAGTTTTACTCCACTCTACATTTCTAAATGGGTTTTGTTTCACAATGCCCTCCAGGTTGTGGTTATCCTGATTGCTTGTCCAGTTTTTTTCCACTACATCTTTTCTTCCCTTTCCTCTCTCTCTGTGAACACAAAGCTTCTTTATCAATGACATGTGTGACTTTCCCTCTTGTGCACGGTGTCAAAGGTCATCTTTTGGACAACTTTCAGGTCAGCAGTCATCCCCATGATTGTATAACCTACAGATCTGGACTGAGAGACCATTAAAAAGCCTTTGCAGGTGTTTTGAGTTAATTAGTTGATTAGTGTGTGGCACCAGGGCTCTGCAATATTCAACCTTTTCACAATATTGTAATTTTCTGAAATACTGAATTTGGAGTTTTCATTAGTTGTGAGTTATAATCATCAACACTAAAAGAAGTAAACATTTGAAATATATCAGTCTGAGTGTAGAGAATGAATATAATATACAAATGATACTTTTTGAATTGATTTACTGATTTAAATCAACTTTTTCACGATATTAAAAATTTTGACTTGCACCTGCACACCATCACTTAGCAACACAATAGTGAAGAAGTGAGTCTAGAAAATAAACAGATGTTGACAAATGTAGCTATAATTATGTTATTATTGTCCTAATTAAATAAACAAACCAC